TAGAAATATTAGAAATATTAGAAAGGGAAAGTCGCCACCTCCCTCGCGCACTGTAACGTGATTGAAGCCACCTCAAAGTGTGATGTACCAAACCATAGGAAAGTAGGAAACCCTAGTCTCCGTGTCGTTCAAGTATCGAATCGTTACGCCCAAGGTTGAATCCGGCAAATGTTTCTCTCTGGAGAACGATTGAGGGAGAACTTGAGATTGAGGATTCCAAATTTTCCGATTTCGGTGCAGATTACAGTTCAGATTGATGAAGCAAGTTCATCGGTGGCAGAGGATCGTGATCCTCTCTTTGCTATGTGTTTCCGTCTTTGCTCCGATGGTTTTGTTCCCCAGCACACTCAAAATTCTCACTTCCGCCGGTAATCTTCTATGATCACATGTTCGTTCAAGTAGATGAATCGAAATATTACTTTTTGGATCGAAATTGAATGCTTTACTGCTAATGTGATTTTCTGTGTTTTTTTTACCAAATCTATCAATCTTCAATTTGCATTTTGTGATTTGATTGGTTTATCGTTGATGAATGTTATTTCTGTGCATTTGTGAATCTGTTTTGGCAGGTCGGAAAGAGTTTATTGAGGATTTGGCCAGTACTGTATGGACATCATTCTCTTGAATCTCTGTTTTCTGATTTACTTATCTGTTTTTGATTTTAAAACTTGGATTTTGGTTTGTTTTGGTGCAGAAATATAGGTCCGATAGCTTAAGACTTAATGCGATAGAGCAGGTAGCTTGAGGTTCTACGTGTTTCTCTGATTTCTTATGTTAACTTTTTCAAGTTCGTACGAGTGTTGATTTGGTTTGTTTTGTGATTTAGGAAACTGGCAAAGACTTGAAAGAGCCGAAACTAGTTGTTTTCAAAGAAAGGGATTTTGATTCTGTAGTTAGTCACAGGTCGGTTGAGAATAATGATTCTGAGCAATCTGAGAATACTGGAGAAGCTGTTAACCTTTTAGAAAGGAATGGTCAGTACTCTCTCCACCAACCCCCCACTCCCCCACAAGAGGTGTTCTTTGCTATTTTAAACCTGACTCCGATTTGAATCTCTTTCCATTTTCAGAAACTAACCATGAAAGAAAAGAAGACAAAATTTTGCAGATAACAAACTCTGTTCAAAAGGTGTGTATGTGTTTAACATTTCCTAAGGATGTTATATATTTAAATGCACTATATATTGTTCAATTGATGGTTAGAGTGTCTTCTTAAGATGTCTTTCTCATTATTTTCAAACTAAGTTGAGAAAAGAAATTTGCTCATTTGCAATAAGTTTGGAAAAAATATCAGCAACGGAGTAAAAGGAATCTATTGGCTGAGTTCAGATAAATGTAAAACAGGGGTGATACAGAAGTTTGCAATAATAATTATTCTTTCCTTCTATTTTTTTCCCCTGAGTTCAGATATCTGTAAAACAGGGGTGATACAGAATCGAAAGCCATTTGTCTTATTTTTTCTTGAGCAAATTGATAATCTTACTTTTAGAATTGTTAGTTATATTACTTTGGTTTTGATTGCAGGAGAAATCCAATCAAAAAGCAGTTCGACATAATCAAAATGTACAGCATCAATCACAGAGGGTAACAGATGGCAGGGTAAAGCTGATGAGAGATCAGGTCATAAGAGCGAAAGCATATTTAGCTTTTACACCACCAGGTAGTAACTCTCACTTTGTAAAGGAGTTGAGAACACGAATTAAAGAGGTGGAGCGGGCAGTTGGTGAAGCCACTAGAGATTCAGATTTACCAAGAAGGTAGAGCAATTACTCTCTTTGGACTGTTGTTTTTATTTTGGCCACCACTGTCATTTTAATTCTATAAATAAATTTGAATCTAATGGTGAACTTGTAGAGAGATTCTTGATAAGCATTCACTATTTTGCTATAAATAGGTAAAACTTTATATTGCTTTTAGATCTAAAGATCTGTGGAATTCACAGTGCTTTGCAGAAAATGAGATCCATGGAAGTTTTGTTGTCCAAAGCCAGTCACATTTTCCCAGATTGCTCTGCAATGGCCACTAAACTACGGGCTATGACTAATAATGCTGAAGAACAGATAAGGGCACAGAAAAGTCAAGAGTCATTTCTCCTTCAGCTTGCTGGAAGGACTACTCCAAAAGGCTTTCACTGCCTTTCGATGCGACTGACATCTGAATATTTTTCCATCCAACCTGAGGAGAGGCAGTTCCCTAACCAACAAAAACTGCATGATCCAAACCACCATCACTATGCAGTATTTTCTGACAATGTACTGGCCTGTGCAGTAGTTATAAATTCTACTGTCTCCTTTGCAATGGTAACCTGCTCTCATTTTTTCTCTTTTATTATTATTATTATCTTTTTATAAATAATTTCCCTATCATTCATTTGCTCCATTTGACTTCCAACTTATCTTTTGTATTTTGCTGCTTATAGAAAAGAAATGATTGTTGCATAGAATATTGCTTTTTATTATTAGTTGTTGTTCAGTAACATCTGGCCTAAAGTTAAAATATTTGAAAATTGGGGTAGGACATGATATAATACAGCTTTCCTGGGACCTCTTTTCAACTGGCATGATATGGGTTGCATAGGGGAACTTCGTAAATATTTCATGAAAAATTTCCTAATAGGACAATTTTTGCTGTTTCTTATTCCAGAATGACTCCTTTACTTGGAATGTCCTACATTTTTGATACTTTCCCGTAGATGTACAATAGTTTGATAATTTATATTGGTCAACTTTACACAGGAACCTGAGAAAATTGTTTTCCATGTGGTGACTGATTCTCTCAACTTGCCGGCAATCTCAATGTGGTTTTTGTTAAACCCTCCAGGCAAAGCTACAATTCAGGTCAAGAGTGTGAATAATTTTGAATGGTTGTCCTCCAAGTACAATTCAACAATGGAGCAGAAGTCTCATTATCCAAGATATACTTCTTTGCTGAACCACCTTCGTTTCTATATGCCAGAAGTCTTCCCTGCATTGAACAAGATTGTTTTCTTAGATGATGATGTGGTAGTGCAAAAAGATCTAAGTAAACTTTGGAGCCTTGACATGAAGGGAAAAGTCAATGGAGCAGTAGAGACTTGTCAGAAAAGTGAAGCTTCATTTCAGCCAATGGACATGCTTATTAATTTTTCAGATCCATTTGTGGCCAAGAGGTTTGATGTGAATGCTTGTACATGGGCATTTGGCATGAATTTGTTTGATCTGAACGAGTGGAGAAGACAGAATTTAACTTCTCTTTACCAAAAATATTTGAAATTGGTATGTTCTTCGAAATTTAACTTCTTGCTTTGGTATGTTCTTCTCTTGCAATTGCATTTTGTTTATTTCCATACAAAACATATTCCTTGTGTTATTCTCTGTTTCACCAAAGATACTGTGTTTCTGTTTGAAATGGTGTCTACTGTCTACAATTATTATTATTACAACAGCCTTTTGATATAGAAGGAAAAACCCATATATATCCGGTTCAAACTTATGGTTCAAACTTATTCTTAAAATAAATATTTTTCTTGTAATAGGAACTATTGCCCATGCTTGACTTTTGTCTTTGAAATATAGCCTGTTTTGTGGGGTTAGTTGCTACTTCTCACATACTTGAGATGGTAATATGTATTAATGTTTTGGGGATGAATTCCTATCACTCTAGAGCATATGTCCTGTCCTTTGACACTGTCATATGAGTTTGCAACCATGTTTTTTGTTGTGGCTGTTGCCCATATGATGTTAAATCCCATTTTCACAACATGAAGGATGGTTGGCATATGAATTAGTTATAATTTGTATTATGTAATGCTATTAAATTATAATGCTCTAATCTAACTAGTCTTCAAAATGGCTAGTTCAAGTGGGCTTTATTGTTGCTGGTCAAACCACAAAAAAAAAAAGGTGGGCTTATTGTTAAATATTTTGTGGTGTTATTAACTTCAATGATCTGCTTCTGTTTTGTTAAAAAAAAAGACACTAACCACCTTATCACATTCAGGTCTCATCATTGTTTTCCGGATGGTTTGCTGCAGGGATTAAAGAGGCCATTGTGGAAGGCTGGGAGCTTACCCTTAGGTTGGGTAACCTTCTACAACCAGACAGTGTCTTTAGACAAAAAATGGCACGTACTTGGGCTAGGTTATGAATCAGGTGTCAAGCAGGCTGACATTGAGGGTGCAGCAGTCATCCACTACAATGGAATCAAGAAACCGTGGCTGGATATTGCAGTCTCCGACTATAAGGGCTATTGGAGCAAACACATGAAATTCGAACATCCTTACTTGCAACAGTGCAATATCCACGAGTAATGGACAATACCACAGCATTTCAAAGTCTGAATTCTTGATCCCCGTACACCATTAATTGTTCCTCCTGGAAACCACTCTAGTTTACCTGATTTTTTCTGTCAAATTCAATTCATTCTTTTCCAAAAATTTTCTTGCCCTAGTCTACTAGGACCAGAGTCAATGAACTGATACAAAATAAGTGTTTCTGGTGAATAGGATGTTGCTGATACATATTTGTACATAAATTATTTTACTCCAGTGGAAATCAAGCTCGCATTCTTGAATGGTCAGAAAACATGTTTTCCATCAGTTTTGTGCCTTGTAGGCTTTTCCTTTTTGGGTACAGTGGACCGTAGGCTTTATTTTGCTGTAGCCTCTATGGAATGGAATTATTTCGAGTTTCTACTCGGATGCCAAATTGTTGCATGTCTTTCTTTTACTTTCATTTTTAGATGGAATTTTATTACCGAATTATTATTTGGGCTACAGCCCTGTGTTTTTTCCCAAGTCATGAGACTCATATGGTTTGTTTGGTGTAATTTGTCGGAGTTTTTATTTTTTTATTATTTATAAGTGATCAATTTAAATTTTTATTAGAAAAAAATTGAAAAAATTATAAACAAATGATTTGTAAATACTATTGGTCTAATTAATTAAACTCTTCGTTACCACCAAATAAGAAAAAATGAATGAAAAATAAGTAAAAAGGGAATTTATGAAAAATTTGGATTTAAAATTTTTAAACTTTTAATGTTTAAAATATTTTTGAGGTTAAAAAAAAATTTTAAATGTAAATTTTTAAGAAAAAAATTTAAATTTATAAAATATGAATAGTATCAAAAAGTTGAATTCTTAAAAATTCACCCAAACATGCCTTTAAATTCATTACCCATAAACAGTAAAAAAGGGTAAAAACTCAGAGTACGTCCACCAAACATGCCCTAAAGAATCTGGTTTACCGGTTTTCTTTACCTTTTTACCCGCTGATTCATGGGGATGTAAGGAGGAAAAGAATCCACGCGCTAGAGAAGGGTGTGAAGCAAGGTTTTCAAAACCGAATCAGCGAGTAAATCGTTTCGGTTTTTGGTTCATGATTTTAACGGTTGAATCGATTTAATCAAATAAAAAACTAAGTTAATTGAATTTTGAAAGTATATGTTAAATATAATATAATACAATTCTTTCCAAAAGAAAAGAGGTAGCTCTAGTGGTTGGAACACTTGTCTATATCATATAGAACTAGAGTTCAAATCTTAAATGTATCAAATTTATTCATATCTCCTTTAATCTTGTAACATAAGCAAAAATTAATCTAATATAAATAAAATAACTAAACCAACATCCAGCATTAAAGGAGGTAGCCAAGAACCAACTCAAAATACCTTAACTCTCAAAATCCATAATTGCTCATAAAAAAACCTACAATACGATTAGTAAATACTTCATGTTAACATACTTAATCTCAGCTCAAAGGTACTTTTTTATTATAGGGCTAGCTTGTAAAGAATAAAATGTCAGTTTGCAATATCTCAACACCCACTATTTTAGCTTTT